ATGCCAATTAAAATGTGTGAAGGAAAGTTTACTGTTGACTATCACTTAATATATTATAATTTAAGGGAAAAAAGTGTACCCCAAGCTTAGGGCCAGAACTGTTTCTTGTTGTTGCCCTTTTCCAAAATATTTGACATTTTTAATAAGATGCTAGAGCAACTTTCTGACACTTTCAAGAAATTAAAGTCTCTACTAGTAATACTTCCTCATTGAACTAATATATTCAAATTTATGATGAGGTTAAAAATCTATAACCAATTAATTAAAAATTGTTGAACTAATTTCTTCCTTCCTCTCTTTCTTTTTTCCTTCTTTCTTCCTTCCTTTCCTTATTTCCTCCTTCCCTCTCTCCCTCCCTTCCTTCCTTTCTTCCTTCCTTCCCCTCTCTGACTCTTTCTTATCTTTTTACTTTCCTCCCTCCCTTCCCTCTCTTCCTTCTCTCCTTTTTCTTTTGCTTACCAAGTCATTCTATTTGCAAGGAATCTTTTCCATCTTACTCAAAAATCCCTTGTCAAAGTTAAACTAAATCTTTGACATATGTTTGCAATTAATTTATCTGAAAAATTGTTTTAGGAAGCTAAATAAAACTTTCACAACTTGCCAAAATTTATAGTTTGGAGTAGCTATTAATAAAATAATGTAATAGATTTCTGCTCATGTGACTTAGGTAAAGGCTAGTAAAAAATCTAGCTTACTTCATTACTTCATTCAGGTATCAATTTTAGAAGTTACTCTCTGAGAAATTAAAAGTCACCACCATTTAGTCATAGAAATATAGAATGTCATGTGTAGAGTAAATAATCATTCCTTTTAAAAGAACTATGCAAATTGAGCCCACATGGATGGATGTGGTTTTATTTTTTTCCATAGTTATACTTCATTAGGATCTCATGTCTATGTCCAGGGAAATCTGGGTTTTGATCCTCTTATTTATGCTTCCTACATAGTTGGGATGACAGGCATATGTCATCCCACCCAGCTTTTTGCCCAGGCTGATTTCCAACTGTGATCCTCTTGACTTCTGCTTCCTGAGTAGCTAGGATGACAGGCACGCCCATCACACCCAGCCAATCATTGTTCTGCTATGTGAATAAAAGCAACTCAGATTATTTATTAAGCTATGAGACCATTAAACCTTTGTAAGTAAATGTCACAAGTCTTATCTTGAGAGCTGGGATTAGGAAAGCTATCTGTCTAAATGCTTTTGGGACATATCTGGAAGGGCTTCACAGATTAGGAGCCACACACAATAATAATCACATCTCGTTTTTGATCAAAAACAGTGGTACTAAACTAGATCATTTACCAGTTAAGTATATCTTCAAATGAGTTTTGGCTGACTCCCAAAATGAGACTGCTGTTATTAACAAGAGATAAATCACTTGTCAGAATACTTATGCTAACTTGCCCCTGGCCCTGAAAGCTGTTCTTGAGAGGTTAAATATATTTTGATTTATGGTGTCTTTGGAGTATGTGTTTAGTATTTTAGGATAACCACTTACTATGAGGAAGATGACACTTGGATCTTTCCATGTGTTTTTATGAGCCAGTATAGTTAATATACATCTGATCTCTGGAATGGAGATGTACAGAGAATTATGCTTTTTAGTGTATGCAAGTCTATTAAATGTTATTTAATATTTCAGTTTAATACCTAATTGTACAGATTAGCACACTTGGCTTAATATAGACATGCACATTTTCAGTAGAATTATAGTATGTGATGTTTCTAACTCCCTTAGAGGAGTTAAGAAACGACATTTATTTTTAAATGTTTTAAAAAAATATGACCTTGAGCAAATATAAGAAACAATACACTTAACAAATTCATTTTGAATCTCTCAAAGTTCTTTGAGTTTTTCCTTTAAAATGTATGTCTACCATTTCTGATGCATTTCCCTAATAAATTAAATGGAAAGTAAAGAACTTTAAGAAAATCTCTTTGCTTTGACAAATCTGAACTTTCTCTGTAGAAAACCATGATTAACCTGGTAAAATTGCAGTTTTCTTTCCTAAACCTCCATTAATTAAAAAAACAAAAGTCTGAATAACTCTAAGTTACTTGTGCTCAATTATATAAGTCTAATGGAAACATAAAATAACCCCTACTTTTTTGAAGAATTATTATATGTACTAGTTTACTCAGATGTGCACAACTGAATGAATAAAAAAGCATTCTCTGCTCAAATGTTATTATTAACATAATTACAATTACAGAAAACAGCAAAGTGTTTCTCTTTGGGAGTACATGGCCATTTGTGATACATTAGAAATAAAATAGGTGTAATGAATGTCCACTTTTGTCAATCCTTGGAGTGTGATACCTCCCATAAGATCTGGAGAACCGGCTTCGTTTAACCAAAATTATGTCCCTTCCTACAGATTCTAACTCCTTTGGTTTCTTATAGGTACTGACTCTTAACTTCTCCCACTCTTGTCTCCCCCCTATATTGTTTGTCTTACTCAAAGAATGTACATTTTTGATATCTCATTCCAGTTCCCCTATTTAGCAAATTTAGGATCTTCGATATGCCCATCATCCTCACAAGGCAATGTGGGGTTGTAAATAACCTTCAGGTTTTGCTCTGTTATGAATTATTTTTATTTCCTGTCAAATTAACATTATACATATTTCAACATGTACCCTTTTGACTGGTAATCATGGCATTATAAAATTAAGATAAGGTATAAAATTATAAAACCTTTGGCCAAGCAATATTCAAGATGGGCAAGGTCAGATACTATCTCTATTTGAATCATGATACTTGGTTCATTGTTGATTATTGCATTAGTATTGATTTTTAAAATAGTGTCTTGTTATTGAGTTTTGGTACCTCAGATCTTTTGCAAGAAGCAAATTCCTAAACCATGTTACCTATCCTTGTTGCTGACCTACTAGAAAGATTATTTCTAATCAATTAGTATCAAAGTGAGTGTGTTTCAATATAAAAGAATAGACAATATCTTTTGTTAAGAGAATTGCCCAAATGAAAAGCAATCAAGTATTACAAAATTGCTATATTTTCTTCTAGTTACAGTAAAATCATCCTTATGGGAACAGACATGGTACAAATCCTTTGTGAATATGCCATGAAGTTTGTCCCCTACACAGAGGAGCTCATGCTTTCCATACCTTAAATCTAAGAATAAGTGTAAGAACAAAATGACACATATTAATGAAAATATTAATTTCCCCTTGGGGAGAGAATTCCCTCTGGTTAAAAACTCCAAAATGGGAGGGGGAGGAATGTGGGAGTTCTGGCTTTATGTGAGGCCATTTATATTTTCTTTATTCTTCTTAAAAGCAGTTGTGTTTGTGATCATCTAAATCATTTACCTTTTTTTTAAAAAAAATGTCATTTGTTAAAAAGGAAAGAGTTAAAATTGCTTCAAAAAGTCACTGTTATCAAGTGACAGCTGTATGTATAAGTAAGCTTAAACACAGCAACAAATCTTTCAAAGAAAATCTCCAGTTTATTTTTGGAAAAAGAACACTGAATTAAGTCATAGAACCGAGCTGCAACTTGGCCATTCTTTTCAGGACTCAAAATAGCTCAGCATGTAATTATTATATTCTATAAGAATCACATTTCTTTCTCATGATATAGTATGAATAATTTTTTACATAGGCCAGCATGTAATAAAACATTGCTAAGTGTAATGCATATGAACAAAATAAATACACTTGCATTTTGTGGTACATGTTCTACTAAGATGCAGCTAAAGGGAGAAAAGTATGGTCTGAACAGTTTAAAATTATAAATAATGAAAGTGAAATCCTAATGGTAAAATTAGCAAATATAGAAACCTACACTGAAAATGACGGTATGGGGATATTTAAGAGAATCCTGAAGGATAACAGAGATACTTTGAAGCATAAATAGTTCAGGTTCTAAAGTAATACATCAGGGGGCTGGGTGTGGTGACACATGCTGTAATCCAGGTATGCAGGAGGTGGAGATCAGGCAGATTGTGATTTGAGGTCAGCTCAGGCAAAAAGTTAGTGAGATTTTATCTTGACAAACAAGCTGGGCATGTAATCTCAGCTATCCATAATCTCAACTATGCAGGAGGCTGTAGGTAAGATAGGAGGAGTCCAAGGCCAGCCCTGGACAAAAAGCAAGATGCTATCCTAAAAAGAAATAAAGCAAAAAATGTTTGGGGTTATGGCTCAAGTGGCGGAGTACCTGCCCAGCAAGTGCAAGACCCTGAGATCAAACCCCAGTGCTGCCAAAAAGTAAACAGAATAAAGTAATAGGTCTAAAAATTTAATCTCATTTTATTGTGTAAGTCCTTCATGTCCTGTAGGAATTAATTGGAATAACTTGACTATGGACTTTATATAGACTGCTAAAAACACTATTCTCATTTAAATTTGTAAACTGCAAAATAACCATCTTTCTAAAGTGGAACAGCATTCATCTAAGAATGATTTTCTTATGGAGAGGTCACAGAAACTTAGATGAAGAGAATCAATTCCCAAGCCTACCTGTTATCCTCATTGTTTTCTGAAATACTTCACTATTTATCCTCATTGTGATAAAATCCATCTCAGGCTTTTAGGTCTGATTCAACATTCATTTTTAAGGGGAGTTTCTACCATTATCAAAAAGTCTTTTCTAGGCCCAAAGCTAAAACAAAATTAGTCTACATACATAAACTATAGGACAATTATTTCTCATTATCATATCCAATAACACAAAAAGGCTGCATTTTGAAATTAAATAACCACCACATGCTAAGGAAATACAGAACAAAAAATGAATTCAAATTTCACTATATGGAATGGATAAAACAAAGGAATGAATGAGAAAACCATGATCTATTTAAATTGTTCTTATTCTACAGTTATAGAATGTCTATAATTAATTTCATGATGATTTTCAAGTTTAAGCTTTTCTGCAAATCAAATTATAAAAAGAAAGACAGAGGCAAATCTTTACTCATTAATAAAGCAAAACATTTGGTTAGAGTATATTAAAAAAATAAAATATTCATGATTTTAGTTTATTTTCTGTTGAATTTATTATTAATCTTTATATATATTTATATATGTATGGCTTTGAGCAAAGACAAAAGAAATACTCTAACTCATCCCTGATCATACAGTTATAAGAATCACTATATTACTATTTTCCCAGCAGCAAAAAGACCAATCTTTTCAATAACACATTTCTTTCTGTACAGATTAAAACTCCATACTTATGAGCCTAACTATGTACAGAGAAAAGAGGTCACTTTCAACTATCAATGAACCTTTATATTAGAGGAATGTGAGTCAATTATTTTCTTAACCTAAGTACATATACATTCATTCATATATTTATATAATTTACCTTGTACATTTTATTAATTTAACATATAAACCTTAGGGCTTTTTCCATTCTATTACAAAGTGAATAAAAATTGTATGGTTGCACTGAAAGACCATGCAATTCAATTTTGTTTGTTTCCCAATAGTGCTCAAAATAAAAAACCAAAACTTCATATATATATATATATATATATAAAAATATTTCACTACCAAACCCATTAATCCTATCAAATATAATCCTTTAATAATTTAAAGGACCAGTGCATGATCTTAGTAAGTTGAAGTTAATTCTCATATTTTAATAAAATAAAGGAGTTTTATACTGATATATAAATGGTCTTGCAGCTTTCCCATAGAATTTAGGTAGCCTGAACAATCTCTTTCATCTCTTTGCAGACATGCTGTCATTTGTCACCAGCATGTTAATGATAGCATTACATTGATTGGCTGGCATTGTTGATTACTTCCACACAAGTTGGGATCTGTTAGAAGTTAAGCAAGACAACTCATTTTGGTGTGATAGGTGTTATATCCATGAACAGGCAGCATGGGTCCAACTTCACAGTTTTTGCTTCTGTCCTCAAGTCTATCAGGAGGACCTGCCCCAAGTAATGTGTATTCTTTGTAAAGTCTCTTCTTAAATGTATCATCAGTGCCAGAGATGCTTAAGACTTCCAATTAGGTCATTCTCTTAACTTGCATTATTCACAGAAGTCAGATATATCATCCCATTGTGTTCCAGCCATCCGCCACATTTGTGGGATGCATTAGGCACAAATGATTACTAAGGGACTTCTTTGAGAAGAAGCTGATGCTCACAGACCATAGAAACAATAAAGGAAACAAATGAAGAAACAAAAAATGTTCACAGACATTCAACTTTACCTCTGCTTTCTGTCACCATGTCCATGTTATTTTCGGCACATTTTAAAATAACAAACCTCTTATTTAAGGTCTATGTTAGTAAACCACATGCCTCAAGATTTACTAACCACTTAGTTACAGTATACATAGAGCAAAATGTGTGCTCCCAAACAGACATGATGGTATATTGTATTTATTTAAATTAACACCAAATAAATCACCAAATACAATGAAAACATAGAATACACTTGCAACTCCAAATCAAGCTGTGGTTTACAAATGATTATTCAAATAGTAGTAACAGTGATAATATTAAATGAAAGTGAAAAACCTCACTTCTAGACTTAAGTTATAGATCCAAGTCAGTCTTATAAGAACTCTAAGATAGGCAATTAATGAACTATTATACTTTTCTAGAAATGAGAAATACTGTAAACTTTCCTTACAATGACTGATTTGAACCTATTTTTTTCCCCCAAAAGCATGCAGAGACTATTTTTAGATGCTTGATTATGGCAAGAAGGAAGAAAAGTAATGATTTTTTTTGGTGTGATACAAGCAATTTGTAGATTCTAGCATACAATTTTGCATAAAACATTGCAGGTTAAAATGACATTGTTAGGTTTCAAGTCATTGCATTACAACTGAATAATTGTCACAATTAGGTTTTGTAAAATTTAAAACTCTAAGTTTTGAAGTGAAGCAATAAAACTAAATTCTTAAACACTGACTTTTACCTCCATACAACACAGAATAGCTATTTTTATTTGGGTTGAAAAAGTTATTTACAACTAACATTGATTGAGTCTTGGTAAAAGTCCAATAACACATGAAGACAAATATCCCCTCAGCTTTCAGAAAGATCAATAAACACATTTGAGGTTACACATATTCTTAACAGTGGCAATGCTAATCTCTAATGGTGGCCAAGCAACGTAGTATGTTCTTTCGCCTAATTCAATATTTAAAGCACCAAAATACAATTTAGATCTATAAAGTGGGATTTCCTATTTAATCCCCTGTAATTAATGATTAACAATTTAGATGTGAAGACACAGCTAATGAAAGAAAGCTTTCATTGGTGCTATACCCAAGCTTATTTGAGTTGCCTTTTTAAAATCAGTTTTATTCCCACTGAATCCAAGAACTCTTCATAAAATAGAGAAATACATATATCAAAGGAATTAAGTAAAAGTAGGTTAGAAATGAATAAGCTTACAACAACATTTTAAATCTTTTAATGATTTGAAAGAAAGGAAGACATATAACACTGAATGCTAAACAGGTCTTTTGAACTTGTCTTGGGAATTTAGATATTTATATATAATATATATATTTAATAGAATATGTATATATGTTTTTACATTTTGCATGTAGGCCAGAGCTGTCTAAAATATCTCTTCATAGTAGGCTATATGGATCTATCAGGAGATAGAATGAAATAAGATCTGAGGATATTCTCAGTTTATTAGTCTTTCTGCTTTGACAATCAGCAAGGATCATAAATTTGAAGCAAAACGTGGCTTTTCTGCATCTGGGTCTGTGTTTAAGACTATGGAAGACTCTCTTTGAAGAGCGGCTGCTGGTGGTGGAGGTGCAGGTGGGACTCCTCGGTTGGGGGGAATGGCTCCAGATGACATCTGTCTGAAGAGGGTGACTCGCTGAGGGACAGTGCTCCTGCCTGCTGCGGGAAGGCCCGTGCTGTGGACAGCCGTCATGGGTTGAGGGATGGAGGCCAGGGACTCGCCCACAGTGGGATGAGGTCTGGAGATGAGCGTGGACACCTCATGGGGCAGCGAGGGCTGCGAGGCTGACAGGGGCCTTACTTCCCGGGTCAGGGTGGTGTTATGCAGTGCCTGTGTGCTCTTGTGCACTTCGTTTTTCGGCGTGGAGCTGCTGGGTGTCTGTGGCTGTTGGGGCTGTGATTGTGGCTGAGTCTGCTGGGCCTGGGGCTGTGAGAGCTGCTGCTGCTGCTGCTGCATGAGTGACAGCTGTGAAGCAGTAGGAGAGGCATAGTGGAAAGTTCGAGTGGCCAACGGGCTCTGTACAGAAGGGCTGCAGACTGCAGTGGTGTAGGAGCAGGGTGAGAGGATGGCGGAGGGCTGGGGTGTCTGTGTACTGGGGCTAGGGGAATGCAGGTTGCTATGTGACAGGTTGGTGGCTGTGTACACGGGTGGAGATTGTGTCCTCATGCGAGAGGTTGGGGTAGTGGTTGCAGATGTGGAATTCAGGGCTGTCATTTGAGGATAGTTGATTGGAGCGATTGCCTGTACCATCTCCCTGTCGTGTTTCACAATCTGCTTCAGGATCTCGTTCTCCTGGTTGTTAAAAACACCAGTGTTCAGATCCTTCTGAAACTTTTGAAGAAGAATGGAGTTTTTCTTGCCTGTCAGCAAGAGAAAGACAGACACTTAGAAAAAGCACACATGAGTGATGACATCAGGTTGAGAGTGCCTCCCCCAAGCATTAAGTATATCAGTGTTTCTAAGAATATGTGTAGAAGGCAAGAACTCACCTTGAGACACCAAATAGGAATGAAGTTCTGCCTTGTACACTTCCTGTATCTACCTGGGAAAATACTTATTCCTACTTAAGTCAAGTTGAAAAGACTACCAGATGGCAAAAATTCCCTTTCCAGACGAAATGGAGGTATTTAACAGGAGGGTTATCTTAAAAAAGAGAGGGCAAAGGGTTTTGGGTCAGGCTGGGCTTGGAATCAAGATTTGAATATCAAAATATGTGTTCAAGAAAGGTCAATGGGGAAATAAGAGCCAACACTTGTATTCTGTAACAGACAGTCTACAAAAACTTTAGGTAGATTCTTTCATCTAATTCTTGAGACTGTAAAATAGATGTATTCATAACCCTACTTTTACGAGAATGGAGACCATGACATGGGAAGCCTAAAAATAATGCCAAGAAAACATGGTTAGAAAGTGACAGGGCTAGGAAGGGGAGAGTGCAATTCTGATTCTGCACCCTTGTTACAGATGGATAACAGACTGGTTGTGTCTGTGTCACTTGGTTGACCCTTGATGAATCCATGCTGCATTTTACTAATACCTTCAGGTAATTTCCATGTGCAAATTGGAGAAGTACTATATCAGAGTCTTGTTTTTTGACCAGTGCCTTGAATTAATGATTCTTAATTGTAGCTGCATATTTCTCTCATCTGTGGAGCTTTAAAAATATGCATGTCTGGTTGTACGAATTAAATGTGAATAAACAGACATGAGGTCCAGCAAATTTCCCCAGGTGATCCTTATGTGCAACCAGACTGAGAACCACTTCATGATCATCGATCTTCTGCATGGTCGCTGTGAGGGCCAAGGGCACAGAGCTTGACAGGCTCTCAGCTCAAAGCATGAGTTCTGCTTCCTGTTATCATCTTTGGAGTGGTTTACAATAACTGGATACTCCTTGGCAGAATAACCATTAGAATCAATAGTGAATTGGTGAAAGAAGAGAAAAGTAACAATTTCCATGACATCCTTGATATAACAATGCCCAATTGAATATGATAACTGAAAAGTGAATCAACATGCTAATTCATTAAAAAAACTGTATTGAAAGTAACAAAGTATATTTTTCAAGATGAAAATATATAATTTCTTGACTACTGAGAAAAGTAAACATTTTAAAGTTTTGCCAAAATGGTTATCTTTCCTTCAAAACTATACTAATTTCCCAATAATAAAATCTCTTATAATAGTAAAAAACACAAATGCCGATTTGGCATATTGCCTTACCTAACTAGCGGTTACAGTTACAAGCAATGGTCACAAAACTGAAGAGAATAATGTTTCTTTGTGAGCATTTGAATAGTCAACATTTCCCAATCTAAGTATCTGTAACCATGGAAAAATTAATATACCTTTTCATGTACTGTTACAACTTTATAAAGATAAAATACAAATGCTTAGTACTCATTAGCAATTATATTGTCTATACTACTGATTGCAAACCATTTCATGCAAACTTTCTTTAAAAATTCCAATAATTTAGGCAAAAGTGAAATTATATCGATTGACAAATTTTCTATTATATTATCTTAAATTTTATGCTTTCTCTAAATACATGTAGCTGGTTTAAGAAAAACTCAAATACTCAGAAATCAGTTTCTATGTCTAATATGAACACTCGTACCACAAAAAGGAAACTTGTTTTCAAGGTTATGCTTTCACCAGTACCCACTTCTTTTATGAGCATTTTGTCTCTGGATGATATGTCCTGTCAATTTTCTAAGCTGTCAATATAAATTTATAATATTTTTATTCCAATTATGATGTCCAAATATTACATTTACTTCTCCTAATCTAATTTCAGACCCTTATGCAATCCATTGCTCTACAATATAGAGGGAAAGAAAGATGTGAAGTGTAGGAAAAATTCCACATAACAATACATCAGGTTAAGTCCTTACCTTTAACAAGAACAAAGCAGTTGAGGTACCTTTTTGTTTATTGATCTCAGCCCCACTCCTTATATCCCATTTATTCCTCCCTTCCCATCCTCCCCTTGTACAACAAATATGCATTGTGTGCCAGGTACTGCAAATGTACATCATCCCTCCATTCATAAAGCTTAGCATCTCTAGAGCAATTATTACATTAAGGCAGTGCTGTGTTGGGGGAATTGCAGCAGCTACAGAACATACTGAAGGAACTCAGCCTACAATGGGATAAGATGTCAGAGAAGGTTCTGTAAGGAATTCTTTCCATACTGGTTTATAACAGTCAAGTAGAACTAAATTAGGAAGGTAGCAGAGAAAGGTAGGATGGGCAAAGAGGGCTTAGGTTTGGAAAGTGAATGTAAAACACCTTATGTATATTGGTGTGTTTAGGATATCTAGGAAAGGTCACAGCAGGCCAATTTGAGGTAATTTTACTATGATAATTATGCAAATATTTAGACTGGAATAACTAATGAGGTTTAATTTATATATTTTTATTTGGTAGCAGTAAAGGCTTTTAAATACATTGATGTTTGCTAAATTAATCATCTAGGTTGTGCACTTCTTCAAGGCTTTTTCTGCTTGAGTCTGTATTACAAACATTTCAGTAAGTTTCTACTGAGACCAATTTAAATGTACAAATTTTCAACTTTTAATATAAAGATAAAATGTAAAGTTGTCCTTTAAAAATAAAAAATGAACTTTGTGATAAAATTTGGTTTTCAATACAGACTCATGCCATTGTATTTTAATGCTATTCTAATGCTGTCTAGAATTTGTAGCAGTGCTTTTTACCTGACGATTCAAACGGTTTTTGTATCACTCAGGATGTCAGATTGAGTAGCTAGTAAAAACAGACATGAATAAACAAACCCAGAATAGTCTGAAGAGATAGATGAAACCTCATATCTTCTTAGAAGATGACTACAACTAACTACTATTTCTACACAAACTAACAAGGAAGCTATGATCTAACATTGGAGACTTATGATCCAAATTAATATTAGAACACTAAATTGTGCTTGAAGAAAGTAGAAAACTAGAGTACCTATCCGATCGAGCCGGTCTATGGCAACCGTCTCAAAGGCTCTCCTCATCATTGGATATTCCTCCAGGACCTCATTGAAATTGTCCACAGAAAGGGAATAAAGACGACAGTATGTATCTGCTCGGACACTGGCAGTGCGGCGCCCCTTGGTCAGCAGGCAAATCTCTACAAAAACAAGAAAGAATAACTTGATTGGTCATTTTCTTTTGAAAGCTATAATGGCCCACTACATTAAAAATTTACCCGATATGAAAAACCAGTGATTAGCAACATTGTGTATTTTATCAAGAAATTCTTTCTGACAATTAAAAGTAGCCAAATTTCAGTGTCAATTTTAAAAATAATATTCCATTTTGAACAATTGGGGCTTCAGGTTCAAATAGAAGGAAGATTGAGCTAGCCTTCAACTCCCATTCCAATCACCCTGAAATAACAAAAAAGATGAAGAAAAGGAAAATTTTAAATCCACAATGAAGTTCAAAACATGATGAGATTGTATCAGATGGAAGATTTATGAATTATGGGGAGTAGAAAGCAGATGGTATAATATAGATTGAAATGAATGTGAGTCCAAATATTGTCTCAGAAAGTTCTATGACCAAACAAAAGTGAACAGAGGCTCAGATGAATATATTACAGAATGTCTTAATGTAGTTCATATATTCTCACTGAGATGAGAATGAAAAATAATATTTTAAATGTAAAGAGGGGTTTTATATTTTAATGTCTTCTCAGGAGAATTCCTTGTTAAAATTTACATTCTCAAAATATAGTAAATGAACATTTCTACTTTGTATTTCCTTATTTGCTAACTAATCTACAAGACATAATTTTCTACTTCATTTTCTAAGTTTTATGAACTAAATCAAACTGCTGTAGGCTTTGCATTTTTACATTTTGGTGGTTTAAAAAGTTAGCTTAGGACTGGAGTCATGACTCTAGTGGTAAAGTACCTGCTTTGCAAAGTACAAAGCCCAGAGTTCAAACCCCAGTCCCACCGAGAGAGAGAGAGAGAGAGAGAGAGAGAGAGAGAGAGAGAGAGAGAGAGAAATTTGTTGATATATTGCAAAATAAGGGCTTCTGAAATTTGGGAAGGTAGAGATGACTTCAGAAAATGCCATCTAAACCATCAATTATCTTGTTTTGTTGTTAATGTAGTTAAATGTGTTGTAAACTGAATACATGATATTCTTGAGTGTTTTATTTGTGTATATGTTTGTGTTTGTGTGCACATATATTTGGTGTTTGGATGGTAGGATGAATCTATTGGCCAATATTTAAACAAATTGACATGTCATATAATTTGCCTGGTACTTTAAACAATATAATGAAATGAAGCATTTCACAACTACCCCAAAATGAAATTCCTGTGTCACTAAAGAAAGTTTAACACATTAAGTAGCAAAGGTCATTAAAAGTATGTATTCTTTCTAGCTCAGGAATTTCACTTGACTATTTAACCTAAGGTGGCAGTGTTAATTAGAATAAGGTTTACAGTGATATACTTTATGCAATTATTTATACATCTAAAATTATGAGAATGCTCTCAATGTTTAATAATTCAAAATTCATAATCAACTATATGATTTCTGTATGAATGAGGTGACAGTCATTAAAAGTAAAACTTTTAAAGCCTAAATGATAACAGAAGGACATGAAAACTTAAGCAAGAAAGCTGAGAAACAAAATTTTAATCACAGTTTTATTCTTTTTTCAATTTCCTTTCATGCAAAATATTTTTTGTTTGTGAACATGCATGATTTTTAGTCTAAAAACCTCATTTAGGAAAGAATACTATCTGCATAGAATACGGAAAAAAAAAGTAGATGAATATAAACCTCTTCATTACATTGTTATTGCAGAAAATGTCCTCATTTTACCTTATACGATTTTAATATAGAATTATATTTAATTTTATATTAATTAATTAATTAATATTGTATTTGGGTACATAGACTTTTAATTTTCAAATGCCATATATTTTTCTCTATTTATTGCCTTTTTAAAAATTACAACCTCCTCTTTTGTTGTATATGTGATGCCCTCTGTTTCCCAGTAGATGTTCTTTTTTTTTTTTTTCCTTTTTCTTTTATTATTCATATGTGCATACAAGGCTTGGCTCATTTCTCCCCTCTGCCCCCACCCCCTCCCTTACCACCCACTCCGCCCCCTCCCTCTCCCCCGCCTCAATACCCAGCAGAAACTATTTTGCCCTTATTTCTAATTTTGTTGTAGAGAGAGTATAAGCAATAATAGGAAGGAACAAGGGTTTTGGCTGGTTGAGATAAGGATAGCTATACAGGGAGTTGACTCCCATTGATTTCCTGTGCGTGGGTGTTACCTTTTAGGTTAATTCTTTTTGATCTAATCTTTTCTCTAGTACCTGTTCCCCTTTTCCTATTGGCCTCAGTTGCTTTTAAGGTATCTGCTTTAGTTTCTTTGCGTTAAGGGCAACAAATGCTAGCTAGTTTTTTAGGTGTCTTACCTATCCTCACCCCTTCCTTGTGTGCTCTCGCTTTTATCATGTGCTCAAAGTCCAATCCCCTTGTTGTGTTTGCCCTTGATCTAATGTTCTGATTTTGAGTGTTGGGTACATATATTATAACATAGAGAAAGTTCAGCAATGTTAAGTGAAAGAAGACATAAGAGTCCACTTACTGCATAATTCAATTTATAAGAAATATCCAGAAAAGATAAATTTATAGACACACATGACAGATTTGTGGTTGGTGTAGCAAAGGATGAAAAAGGTGACTAACAATAAATGGAAATTGTGAATTGCTTTGGGTAGAATGGAGATTTTAGTCATATTATTTATTCAATCCAGGAACACTGTAAGTCTTTTCATTTTTTTGTGTGTTATCTTTAGTTTCTTTCATTAGAATTTTGTGTTTTTTTTTTATTTTAGAGGTCTTTCACTTCTGGATTAAATTCCTTCCTAGGTATTTTATTTATTTATTTTTATAGTTATTGTGAATGCAATTGCTTTTGTGATTTTTTTCTTAGCAATACTATTATTGATGTACAAAATCCTACTAATTTTTATATGTTTATTTTATATCCTTCACTTTACTTAATTTGTTTGTTACTTCTAGTAGTCTCCAGTGGAGTCTTTAAGTTTTTCTGTATATAGAATCACATTGTCTACAAACAGGGATAATATTTCCCATCAAATAGCAAAGAAATTCACGCTGAATTATACAAGAAATCCTAAAATTCATATAGAAGCACAGAAAATCCTAAATTACAAAGGTAATCCTGAGCAAAAAGAATAAATCTGGAGGCATCATCCTTCCTGATTTCAAAATATAAAACAAAGCTATATGAATGAAAACAGAATGAAATTACACCATAGGAGACTCACAACCCAATAGAGTAAAATGAAGTGCTCAGAAATAACCCCATGTTTTCATAACCAACTGAGTTTTTGCAATGATGCCAAAAACACATGTTGGAGAAAAGACAGCCTCTTCAATAAATGATGCTGGCAAAACTGAATATTCACATGCAGGACATCATAAACTTGATCACTATCTCTCATAATTTAGAAAAATAAACTCAAAATTGATCAAAGACCTAAAGGTAAGACCAGAAACTATTTTCAAAAAGATTAAGGATACAAAATGCTGGTGAGGATGTTAAAAAAGGAGAACCCATACACTGTTGTGGGAATGAAAATTAATGCAGGCATTATGGAGAACAATATGGAGGTTTCTTAAAATAATAAAAGTAGATCTAATGTATGACCCAGAAATCCTATCACTGGGTATATGTCCAAAGGATATGAAATCATTATGTCAAAATCATTATGCTCTCCTATGTTCCCTGTAGCACTATTCATAATAGCCAAGAAATGGAAATAGCCTACTTATCCATCAACTGATGAATATATAAAGGAAATTTGATAATATGTACACTAGAATGCTTTTCAGCCATAAAAGTGATGAAATCTTGCCATTTGTGACAATATGGATGGAACTGTAGATCATTCTGTTAAGTGAAGTAAGTCAAGCACAGAAAGACAAAAAACCACATGACTTCGTTCATATAATATGGAATCTAAAAACATTGATCTCACTGAAGTTGAGAGTAGAATGAGAGGAGAATGATGGCATGTGCAAAGGTTGATCACCAGATAATAAGTTGCTTTTAGGTAGGGCCAAGAAGTTCTGGTGTGCTATTGTACAGTAGGATGACTACAAATAACAATAAAGTACTTATACATTTCAAAAATCTAAGGAAGGATTTGAAAAGTGTTCACCATAAGTAAATGATAAACATTTGAGGAGATATGCTTAACCAGATTTAAACATTTTATAATTTATACAGGTATCAAAGTATCACATAGTGTTCGATAATACGTTTTAATGTTTTATGTGTAAGTTAAAAATTAAAATCTTTTGAAATGAAAGAAGGAGATGGAAATGCTACCTTACCTTAATCTAATGAATGCAGGTTATATGCATGTATTTAATTGTCAATATATACAATTAAAATAATAATCCTGAAGTTTAAAAAAATGTTATCCAAACTCTAAGATCATTGACTCTTTCTTAATTGTCCTAGTTCTCCTTCTTCTTGTTCAACAGCTCTGGGAAGGAACCTCCCAGGAGAGAAAATATTTGGCTGCAGGTTTTTCTGTATGAGGAGTGAGGGATGGAGAGTCAACTGCTCACAATAAGACCTTCAGCATAAGACACCTTCTTTTCCCCTCACTTTTCATTCTACCTTCTGTGAACCTGTTGTCACTTAGCAAGGAGCTGCTCTAGGATTCCTCCAGGAGGATGTCTACTATCTCCCTGGTCTCTCTCTCTCTCTCTCTCTCTCTCTCTCTCTCTCTCTCTGTGTGTGTGTGTGTGTGTGTGTGTGTGTGTGTGTGTGCTTTTCTGGCCTCTATCATCTGAGGTCTTAATATAATGGATATATAATACATGTACCTAATGGAACAGACCTGCATGTGGTACATGGTATAATTCCCAATTAGAAGTAATGCTGCTTGATCAATCAGTTATGGAAGGTCATTGGTAAGGAAATAAATACTTCAAACTGGAGGTTTTATAAATATTTCAGGGCTATATGAAAATCATGGACATGTATTATGAGATCTTGACCAAAATATTTCCTACATTTTATTATATATGTATTATATTATATTTCCTATATTC